GTAGCTACTACTGTAAGATCTTAAACATAGAAAAAATATATCTATCATTATCATCATCAGTGAGTCGCACACTTGCGAAACGGTGCATTATGCAAAAATCAGTGACGGAAAATGCGACTTGATAAAGTCCCTCAATTCATCATAGACTAGATCGAATTGGAAAAATCACAAAGCATTAATTGCACACCTCACTTAAACCAGTTATTTTTTCTGGAATCAAGATGTTCACTAGTTAAGCATACTACTGTCAAATATCCATCTGCAAAACGAAAATACTTTCCATCAAATTTTCACTTACTCATCAACTTCCTTCATTTCAATAACGAGCCCTATTTTTCAAATTGTGCTACAGATCTCAGAGCACTGATCCTTGTTTACTGAAAAATCAACTAGACAATTTTAAAAAACTGATGCCAGATTCGGATTCCCCGCCCCCGATTACCTTTGGTCAAACTTTGTAAAAAATTATTTTTTTCCTAAAAAAGTATTTCGGGGTCCTAAAAAATCCCAAACTCAAAATTCTAAAAAGCTGATCTCGGATTCGGATTCCCCGACCCCGATTACCTTTGGTCAAACTTTGTAACAAATTATTTTTTTCCTAAAAAAGTATTTCGGGGTCCAAAAAATCCCATACTCAGAATTCTAAAAAATAAAAAACTGATCTCGGATTCGGATTCCCCGATCCTGATTACCTGTGGTAGATCTTTTTCGGAGAGCCGGCGCTGAAATTTTCATTGGTTTAGTGGATACTGAAATCTGATTCGCTTGTCAAACAAACATACATACAAACATACAAACTTTAAAGATATTTAAGCTGCGTATAACCCTTTCTTTCAGAAAAGGGAATATGATATCAGTAAGCAATGGCCAATGATGATTAACGTAGTTATTACCGCATAATGTGTTGCTGGCTCGGTATGTGATTTCTTTGATTGGAATAAAATTGAATATAACATCCGTATAATTTTCATCATTTTCTTCTTCACATAATTGAACTTGTGTGTCAAATCTTAAAATCATTTGATATATGTTCGTAAAAGGATTGAAAATTTGATTTGCTGGTGTTATTGAAGCATTAGATAAGAAATAATTCTATAAATGATAAAATCACTTCGAACAAAATTCTTTTATTTCATTTATTTCTTCTACTTACTTTTTTAATTTCCAACTTTTTATAGAATTGTTCGGCAATACGATCAAATGCGGCAACTTGAATTCCATCACTTTTATCAACTAAACCAAGATTGAAGACTTTTCCGTTTCTGTTCACTTTCGAATACTCACGAAGATTACTTTTATTGACTACACAAGTTTTAATAATCCATCTACAGGTATAAAGATTTTTTTAATTAGAATGTACCACTATCATTTGAAACCAAATGTTTTTTTCTTATCTATAGATTATGGCGCGTCTGCAATACTTGCATGCTTAACTTTGGAAAAAGCAATCATCATGGCTTTCATATCATCGGAATTGCATACTACGTATATTAAGTTTAGCTGTTGAATGATTTAAAATTTCATAGACATTAATACTTTTTTTTATCAATTATGATATTAGTTCTTAATCTTTTTCAGCACTGGCAAAAAAGTCTTTGATTATACAGCTATAATTACCCAGTTCGAAATGGATGAAGGTCCCTGATGTTACAAATCGCGTTTGTATTCAAAGTAGATCCTGTAAGCAATATTCGAAACCCATTCGTTTCATCGAATTTGCACTCATGAGTAGAAGTGTCACTAGCTAAATTAGTTTTATTGATTTTTGACAAAGATTGGCTTCGTTCAACATCTTTAAATATATGTTATAAAATAATCTCTTAGCGGCACCAATGAGCAACTTACTAAGTGGTGTAGTAGGTGATTGATCAATGTTTTCATCGTCTACAAATATACGACAACATTCAATGATACTACGAAAAGCTGTACATCAATATTTCATAGTTTCTTAAATTATGGAACATGACTCCTTTATACATAGTGAGCTTAATAGGATTGCCAATCTTTTCACAATCACTTAGTACTACTGTGATATCACGAATAATGAAAATTACTCTTTAATAAAAGAAAAAACATATTTTACACCTATTATATTGTATGTCAGATGAATTTAATGTACCGTTCACCATGTGTTACAGCATTGCAAACGTCCATACTATTGACTCGTGCAATTGAGTTATTCTTTAGAATATCGTTTTTCACTAAACCACTCATATTGATCCCCAATACACATGCTAAAACGCCGATAGCATTAATAAAAAGATAAGTTTACGAATACAATCCTTTACACAATAATATCTTCCATTACTTACAACTCATAAAATGTTTACCATCATAGAGAATAAGCCGGTAACGCTTTTCAGTTGGTTCACTATCCGGTTCTTTAGTTTTGATCAATCTTATTTCCTAAATAAGGCAAAAAAATATCACGTATAATCAGCTATATGAACGTATATAGACATACCAGAACTTGAAGAATTGCAGAGTATCCCTTTCGCCCCTTCATATAATCCTATGAATAAAAAGGTAGACTTCAGTGACATGCAGAAAAAGAGAAAGCTTACATAACGACTTCCAATAGTGAGGTTTGGAAAAATTTCACACATTGCAAATGAGCAATATTGATTATGTATCTAAAAGTAAACATCACTAATAGCCTAATCTTTGTAACCACACAGAATGCTCTTGAAGATAACACTGAAACGAAATGTGCTATATGTTAAACAAATCGGAAAACAGAAATATCATATCAACTGAAAAAATAAACAACAAAAATATGCTGTTTTCCTACTTGTAATAATTAGAGTTGAAATGAATAAACGAATAGTTGATGAAATTCAATGCGGAATCAATGAAGGTCTCAACACAACAATGCTTGCAACGTTTTCAATAAGATCTGGCAACCGGCAATCGCGTTCGACAAAAACGGCCAGCAATAGTTGTCATGTATGTTGATTCATTTTTGTCATATTTCTTTGATTTTGCTTTAGCTTGCTTCTTTTGTTTCGAATGTTTAGAAGTCGATGAGCACCGCCTCTTACTTTTTTATGCTTCTTAGCTGCTAATGGTTCATCGACTTCTGCTACAAATTTTAGTCATATATACATGTATTTTTAACGTTGCTCAAATGTATCATTATGAAAATACGAACTTTCATCAGTTTCATTCTGAACACCATGAGTATTTTTTCGAGTTATTGATGTCATAGATTCAGGTAAGCAATTTTTATCTAAGTGCAATTTATAGATAGCGATATTCGTGTAAATAGCTTTAGTTACCAATAAACGATTCACTCAATTGATCATCAGAATATACATTATTTTCGTCACTACGTTTGCAATGCATGTCAGGTGAGATGTCTATATCATCAAAAATACTCTCTTTCATAAGTACATAGATTATTTTATCATTTTTTAATAGTTACCTGTAAAATTACCATCGTCATATGTATTAAGATTGATTACAGTACTAACCGCCATGCTTTCTACCAATACAAGTCAAGCCCCAATCAAAAGAAATGATTACAGATTAAACTCACCTGGTGCAATAATGGTTTCTTCATTTACTGGAATATCATCATAACTTTCAGCTCTTGATGTTGTTGTTGATTCTACATCCTGTACCATACCTTGATGTGCATCGTCATGAATCAACCACTCTACTAAAAATATAATATATAAAAACGTGCAAGTCATCAGAATAGCACAATTTAACTATTAGATTGTTCATCAGCACTTGATTTTGATGAATTACTTTCACGTGAAGTAGAATATAGGTAAGTCGGTATTGTACTTCTTTCTACAAAAAAATGTAAAAAAATAATGATTTTAGAATAATTCAAAACTGCATGAAAAATAATAATTATTTTGTAAACTTATTGCATTTGCAATATTCATCAAAAACTGACGCTGGCATAATGGTGTAAGATCTATCGACAGATTCTTATATTGAGGACGATTTAATATGTCAAATACAGTTTTTATTGGTTGTTGCTTGCATACGTATTTGATCTTGCTACAAGTATCTAGAACTGATTGCATCGTAATAGCTGAATTGTTTAATTCAGCCAAATCCTTGATGTACTTATGGCATTCAGAGCTTGATGTTGGATTTGGCAATGATTTTATATAAATGGTAACTGATTTTGTACATTTTTCAGTAGCACGAGCGACTTTAATTAAAAGCCCTTTGATGACAAGGCTTTCGCAAAGTTCTTTTAGTATAGCAGCTCCATTTTTCAATAGTCGACATTGATACAATGTCTTTAAAGTAAATAAAACCGAGCCGAAAAGCAATATGGCTTGTATCATTTCATATGACTTGTTACCAAATTTTTCACGTTTCTTAGCTTTTTTATCCATATGTTTCATCATTAATCCCGAACCAGGCGCATTATTTAATTTCGAACAATAATTAATACTTTCATTTTCAGGAAGAAACATCAATAACTTATATTGTTCGATATTACCAGAGACAACATCGATGGCACGTTCAACGACATCAATAGTTATATAAAAACGTCGATTGTCATCAATAGATGAACCATAAAGCTCAAAAAATAATGATTTACATTTGGATGTAAACTCTTCAGAAACTTGATAATCCTCAAAGTAACCAAATTTTGCAATATATTCTTTAAGCATATTCGATGCAAGTTCAATAATTTGACAAAGACCAACAATTCTATGGACAGTATCAACTGATTTACCCAAACGACTACCCAAATTATCATCATGTTCTTCAAGAGCTCCTGAAATATAAGAAACAAAACAAAAATTCCTAATGGCAAAAATATTTTTATAAAAAATAATTAATTCATTCGATTGGCAAGTAATATCTTCAAAGTAAGCTTTCAATACTTTCCATTTACGTGAGTTACTTCTATTATTTTACTCATTCGAAATTAAAAGTATCACACGTTTCATAGATTATTTCGTGACATAGTTACTCTAAAGCATCAAAACATTCATTCAGTAACCGCAGAATAACTGGTTTCATTTTAGCAGGAGCATTGTCATCAAAACCAAAGTATGAAGAAAATATTGTACGTGAACAAATATCATTTGAATGTATGATAACTGTATATTAATATCAAAGGTAAATTCATTATCAAGTTTTGGAAAAGCTATAGAAATACTCGTAGCTATTCATATTTGATTTAAACTTTGAGACATAATTAAAGTTATAAATTTAGCTAAAAACTAATTTTTATATATTAATGAAGACAACAATGCTTCAATTATGAATCATTTTCTAGCAACTGTCGAAAAAGTAATCAATATGTATTATATGATATAATTCAATGAATTAATATAGTATTTTCAATCGATAAATTGAAATTTTACATTATAACTTGAAAGAAAAGCTTTTTACTTTCATATAATTACTTAACCTCAATGAATTTAAAAAAATTTTATCTAATAAAATACCTTTTCTCTTTATCAAGTTGCACCATTCAATCATTTTGATATTTGCATCTTTGTTAAAATACATCTCAATGCGTTCAAAGAAGCTCATCATTGTTGAAAATTGCTCAAGAGTCGGTCATTGAGAATAATCCCAAGCAGAACGATTGATTTCTGTATCTATGGCATCACCAGACAACACCCAAAAGATAAAGTGTTCGTATAATGCATCAGCAAGTGCATTTTGGGCACGTCTGGCAATCACTCGTTCGATCAATTCACCAGTTAGTCCAGCCTAAAGAAAACCTAATTCATTTGAAGTTAAAATTTATCGACATACTAATATATTTAGCTTTGAATCGAACACTTCAACAATGTTGGTTTTCAACTTTTTTGCGCATTGTTCAGGATGGTCATATAAATTAATTAATTGTGCTCGACAATCATCAGACATAGAAGCATCTCTACCACCAATATTTGGTAGAAGAAATGCCCCCATGCGTTTTAAAATTACATCACCTTCTTCAGTTATCAATAATCGTGTGCATCCTTTTAAGGAATCTAATACGCCTGCTGTTGTTGCTTCATTATAGGTGACACGAATATGATTAGATTCTGCAGATTTATTTCCACTTTCTCGAAACTTAGTGGATCTAGCATTTCGAACAGCTAGAATTGCAGATTCAACTAAATTCAACATTGAACTTTTACCATATGCTAGAAATCAATTCAGATATAAATTACAAAAAGGCAAACAAATGAATTCATACAACTCTTGGCCACTATGCAATTATACAAATTCAATGGTTTTTTGAATTGATTGGCACGAAAAACGTACGATTGTTCACATGTAGTGGCTGCAATGTTCAGTAAGATAATTGGAATAGCATCCTGATGCATTTGCCAATATTTTACAATTGCATGACAATAATTTGTCATATCTGTACCAAAAAAAAACATCTGGATTTAATTTTATTTGACCAGCGAGATTTCTATTGTCTTTGAAGGGATTTGTAAAGTTGTTGCAAGTCATTAATACTAAAATCTAGAGAACAAGCACATTCTTATTTTACAACAAACTTAGGTACTCGTATCCGGCAAACACTAGATAAAACTATAACAGAAGAACCGGGAAATCAGAATGCTAAAATTTCGTCCAATAATTTTCGAATTTAGTCTACAGATATATTAACTTGTCAAAATAGTCATCCACTAGATTCTTCAACCATAGAACATTATCTTAATCATACACACTAAAGAATCAATATATTCATATTTGCACCAATGACCGACTAAACAGATGCACAATCGTAAAAGCATGGAAAAAATTATACTCAAAAGAGCATGTTTACTAGATACTTAATTACCACGTGATGCTATACTGCTAGTGATATACCGTTCATTTCAGCTGAAACTGATAAATTAACGAAAATATTTACACACAAGATTATTTGCAACGTTCAAACAAAAAGTTCTTCTTAAAAACCACCAACGCTAAGATCATAGTCTCCTTAGAGAGATCGATAAGTTTCTCTATCAAGAAATAATAAACTTTTGAGACCTGTTTGCATCATCTGCATTAAATATATATATACATGTATAACCATCCACGTCTACGCATTCGACGCACATCTGTCATTCTACAAATATACATAATTTTAAACGGCAACAATCAAAGCTAATTTTACAAAAAATAAAACATTCATTCCGTTGTTATAGTTCTCGGCTTCAGAGGTCTAACGCCGAAGTACAGCTTTCATTCTCCAATAATTGTCTTAACGAATATCTAACAAATAACGACAATACATACTTTCGAAACGAACTAATCATAGCAACTTTTACTCATTTCTGTACCGTCCACTATACAAAAGAAAAGTCCTCTTGGATACTTTTATGATATATTTAATTTCTTCATTAACTGAAATGATTCTATCTCTTAATTTTTTTATTCGTAGAAGAAAAGCACTATGGCCTATCAATGATCATCAGAAAAGTCCACTGTACAAAAGAAAAGTCCTCTTGGATACTTTCATGTTATGTTTAATTTCATCACTAACTAGAATGATTCTATTTCTTAACTTTCTGATGTATAATAGAAAAGAACAATAGTCTATCGGTGGTCAATAGAAGGATCCGCAGTTGAATAGAAAACTTCTTGAGTGTAGTATATCATTATATTGAGAAGTTTCAGTAACTAAAGTCATTTTGTGACAGAGCATAATTTGGGATATTAAGAATTATGGCAATCTATTCTATGATCGATAAAAATATCGTTTGATGGCTTTATACTGATACTCTAATACTTTGCGTGGCGTATGCTGAGAGCATTCATTATATGTAGATAGATGGAAATACAAAAATAACAATGAAGGTATATATAATGAAACGAAAATATGTTTATAACGAAATTCTTTCAAAGATACTGTTCACATGATCAGGCACTGTATCAATATAACATATTGGTGAAGCCTCGATCGATCCAGTTTGAATAGAAATGGGCTATCGAATAGCCTGTACCCGGTTACAATTATAGCTTGTATATCATATATTTGTATTATTCATTCACTGTTTAATGAATAAAACGATCAGTCTACATGGAGGAAAGAAAAATGGGAGAAAAAGTCCCAGTGATATTAGAAAAGTCCGTTAGTTAAAGAAGTATCCCTTGAGCATCTCATTGATATGCTTCTGTACCCTCTATTAAAATGTTAACGACTGATGAAAATCAATAATACACATGTTTAAAAGAAAGAAACAGTGAACGAAAAGTACCCATCGCATGGGAAAAATCCATGGAAAAAAATAAGTACGCCTTGAAATTTTGCATATGTAGATTCATATTGCAATAGACACTGAATCAACACATGATTACAAATGTTTAACAGGAATAGAAAGTGTTTAGGATAATAAAGAACTGCGCTAATAAAAGTAAATATACTGAAAATGATTTCATCGCAATGCATGAATTTATCATGCAATAATTTTGACAAGAACTATCAGTTAGGATTTTAAAGATAATGAACACTCAAAAAAATCGGTTTATTATACTCAAATTTAGGCGATAAGATAGAAGCCGAAAGCATCAAAATTTCGCTGTGAACCATATTTAACACTTTAAATTGAAATGTGAGGAATTTTTGTGTCATGCAATTATGTGTCATGGGATGGCTGAGAAAATACTGTTGTTCTGTGATGCATCGTAGAAGAAATGTCTCAAAAGTGAATATGTCGTAAACTCAGATAGGTTCACCACAACAGTAAATGAAAATGTTATAAGATTAATCTTCAAGTATACGTATTGAATTGATTTATCAATAGTTCTCTATATGAAACTATTCATCATTTGGTAAAAAATTCTATTGCGATCATATGAATCGCATCGACCACTAAGTCATTTTATTATAAATTAAGAAATGAACATAAATTCGATGGTTCATTATGTCGATCTCTATTATGATAGACTATTTTAACGATTCACATCTAAACTGTCTCAATTATGATTTTATTATTAAGCCCATCATCTTAATTATGTATTTTTTGTATATGTCACAATAAATTAGTTTTAAATATTTATTTTATATGATTTGATGAGTTCATTAAAAGAGACAATTATAAGACACCTAGTTTTGAATTATGGTTACTTCAGATAAAATGTATCGTTTCTTTATGTATCAAATGATTGTCGCCAGTGTCGATTATTCCAGCAAGAAAAATTTAAGTTGCAGCACAATATATATCATTCGTTTTTAGGAAATTTTGGTGCTATTTTATCATTGCAGGTTCCAGGTTTACTTGGATTTCAAAAACAAATCTTGATTTGTCTTGTTTGTAAAATCTCGTATGATTCTCTTATCTAATATGTTAAACATATGCATGCGTATCATTTTTCTACACACAAAGTGATTGTAATATCCGTTTTGTCCTGCAACAATTATTCTAGTACGAAACTGAAAGAGGCAATATGATCCAAATTCATTATAATAAAATGAGTGATTGTAGACATAAGGTTTAAATAGTATATTTATTACACGTAAATATCTCAACTATATCACGAATATATAATAACTGCATCATGACTCATAATAAATGTCACCCAATATCTCACGAGGGTGATGTTGACTGGATAGCACATACTGTTGATGAAGAAACTACTGTAATTACCCAGCATGATTATCCACCAACAAATAATATTGATTCTGCTCCTAAAGATACTTATGATTTAGGTCACGGCAGTTTACAAATGTTAAAAAAAAAGTCAAAAAAGACTAATATTGCACATTCTACGTTTACTTGTCAATTTAAAAAATAAGAATGCAACAGAAACCTGTGCTGAAATACATGTCAGAGATATTATTAATATCTACATTGATATAAAGATTTAGACGTAAGTTGTATTATCACAGATTTAGATATTAATAGTAATAATAGACTATTTTTAGACCAACGTCTATTTTAAAAACATCAAAAGAATTATTAAAACAAGTACTAGTAGAGAGAAGTTTATTTGTAGTCATGTAGAGGCTATTCAATGGAAGTCGATTATATTTGGCCGAGCAATAAGTCCATTGATATTCAATACTTAAAGCATGCAAAAATATGTTGTAATGTAACAAATGATAATGAATGAAAGCACTAATATAAATCTCTTATACAAAAATGCAGCCTTTTTACCTACTCTAGTATTTTCGAAGTATTTTCAGTGTTGATTTGCTTATCTATACAGTTGAAAACAAAAGCAGTCGTCACATTTTGTTTATGGTGCTGTAAGATCGACTGGTTTAATTTCTATATAGTATTCACTAGTAGCGAATATGCCTTAGTTTCATTTAATGTAATTCAAAAATGACATTTTCATTATTATATCATTTATGTGGTCATTAATAATTCATAAGTAATTTACTTTTATCCGTTCGCAATCTATTTATTTAGAACAAAAATTTTATTTTTATTGTAAGTTAAATTTCGTGCATCCTCAAGTGAAGTATTAACTCTATTAAATACATACCAGTTATTTTTTTTATCAATGTTGTTTTATTAAATTTCTATCTACGCCTTTACCGTGACTTTCATCTCTTGTAATTCTTGAAATACGTAGTCTCTATTGCATTTGCCTCCGAAGTTAATATGAAAATCATTCGAGAGCTTGAAAATTTTGTGAATCGCTATTTAATTACATTTGATAATACTTATCTTTACTCACGAAAACTTCCAAAACATCATTTATCAGTTTATTGTGGCGAACATATGAATCGATTTGAATCATTGGAATTTACTACTTCCATGATATTTGAGAAGAAGCATAACTCTTTCAAAAGAGTCAAGTATCGTAATTTTCGAAATATTGCATAAACATTAGTCGATCCTCATCAACATTATATTGCTTCTCTAATGTATATATCTGCAATAATGTAAACGCATCGTCATTTCTTTTCTTACCATCAAATAAAAAAATAAAACAATTAGACACTTCTGCTGCCAAAAAATCATTTGTTCGATCAAAACAAGAATTTATATGAAACTAGTCAAGTAACATCATTCGGAATTACTTATGCTACTGAAGATGATCTTCTTATTTATGATCGTGTTTTTCCAAGTGATGATGTTTTTGGAAATATACTTCCTATTATAATACAAGATGAAATTGTGTTTCTTCCTTTGCAATTAATGCATATGTTTTAACAACAATTATGCGCATAGGAATTGCGTTTACTAGATTTCTTAGTTACAAAAAATATGTATGAATTGAAGCAAATATGACCATTAAGATTATTAAAAATGTCTAGATCATTATTTACCAGTTTATTCCTTTCAGAAACTTCTTACTTTACTTTAAATGAATACTATTATAATTTTCTTCAAAAGCTTTTGTCCCGGTGATTCATCATAAATTTAGAACTTATTTTTATAAGAAACACGAAGATTAAAGAAAACTAGCTATAAAAGTATTTCCTTGTTATAAGTCATCGATCACTTAATATACCATGAATTGACAACTTTCTAGATGCATCTAAAACATATATATTATTGATAGAAAACACTTAACTACGATCTTAATCTTCTAACAAAATCTGCTAAATATAAAAATAGAATAATCATCATTTTAGTTTATTACAATAAATTATATAATTCATATTCTACAAAATTTTAATTCACCAATCCCTTTTATTTTTTCACTAAAAACGAGATATTTTAAAATTTTCGAAAAATATATTATCTGTTAGAGGCAATGATTTATACCACTATGTCAATTTGAAAGCATGCTAATATTTTTCAGATGTTGCTTTTATTTACTGGTCTTGTTTGATTCGGTGGTGAAACAGTAATGGTCGATATTTATGTTGGTTCCGGTTGGGCTGATGTATATGCTCAATTATAGTGACACCATTTGATTCAGATCTAAATCAATCTTTTATTCAAATATAACGATCAAACATATTCAATGACTACATCAATCTTCTAAAGATTTCTTTAATAACAAACATGAATTCTGATCGTTTTCGGATTATATTTAAAAAAGTAACTGTCTAATTTTTTTGCCTATTATAAACGAATCTATTCTTTATAGGTTGATTCATGTAAAGAACAAAATACCTTGCAGATGGCGCACTCACTTTAAGATATAATTTTCTCCAAATTGAATAATCTTTTGCTTAGCAAAGTTTTTTCCTATCACTAATAATGTTACTTGTATTACAATTTCCTTGTTTTTCTTCCTTCTAACGATCAAAATATAATGGATTTTATTCATCATGAAAAGTCCCATAGATATTAGACGGACTTTTTAGTAAAGTGGACATTTTGTGGACCTTTGCCATTGCTGCTTAAAAATCTGCCAGTAACAAATTTTCTATACACTTTGTATAAAAATATCATTATTACTATCATATCACGAAACTGTATACGTATGCCCAGGGTATTCTTTCAAAATAATTGATAATTTTGAATAGAGCAACACATAAATCATGCATCTATCTATGTTCTGAAGTATCATAAATTTCCTATGATCTGTTTTTCTCTTAAAAAGTCATCGGTCTGTAAATTATGCCATCAGATCGGTCTACCAATAATTAATAGAATGGTGTATAATACATTCAAAAGTAACTTTCATTGGATTGAGATATTATCATTCCCCTAAAGAAATATTTCAATCACAAAATTTATCTGCATGCAACTATTTTATATTTTTGACACAACCAACATTTTGTTTTGAAAGAAATTGTGTTCCACGATTTCTCTCAAATTAATACCACTTTAGGTTGGCTATTGTAAGTTACTTCTTACAGGAGAAAATTACATTTCAGTTGACGAAACAGAAAATGAAAAGCTGCCTGTAAAATGAGTCTTATTAATATCTCGTGGAATCAATACTTTAGCAGAAAACTAAAGTCATATTCCGATATTCGTCACACTTTTTAATATTTTGCTGGAATGAAAGAAATGAAATAAGCGACGGATCGTATGCACCCCAAAACCATAAATCCGACACGGAAACTCATCATCCTCAAAGAGTGTATTCTTCAAGAGTATTTTACTGATTTTCGAGTGGAATGAGTATCGTACAGTGGCAATTATTATTTTCAATGCAAGTACTGGCACTAATATGGGAGTCTGATGCACCGAAAATAACTTTTTCATCGACAAAAGGTTTTCCAGGCTATTATTATTTGAGAATATTTTCTCATGACAATTTATTTCAAAATACTCTTTAAGCGAAGTTTCTATGTTAATATTTCAATTTTAACGTTAAGTTTTATACATATGATTATTCCTCTGGATGCTATCTGACCACGAAAGTTAAATATTGACCAAAGACGTGTACATTGCTCTGTGGGTTTACAGTAGCATATTCGACTTGCCATTCACCATTAGTTACTTCATTCCACATCTTAGTAAAACTTTCGGGAGAATGACAAACCATTGTCTTGCCCGGTAATCAAGATTGTCGAGGACGTTCAGAATATGATGAATCGCTCACCTGCCGACCAAAGATCACTTGTTTTGCCAAACGAGTGAGACGTTGGCACACATCTCGCTGAGTCGTGGCATCGAACAGATGTATAAATGAGCCGACATAGAGATAATCGGCTGGTTCAACTTGACGCAAAAGTTCATCATCAAAAATAGCACCTTCACTTAAAATTTTCTTCTGTCGCATTATTTCACCATCACGAAATAATTCATAGCGTAGTTCAATGAAGAATGGATCAAGGTCGTAACCACAAAGTTGACCAAGAGCTACACCATCGCATACGAGGTGTCGAATATCTTGGTCAAGACAACATCCGAAATCGGTCAATGTTGCACCGTCGTTTTTTACAGCGCTGAAGAATCTCTATATAAATCGGACTTCTTTGGATGCTAAAGTCAAGAAAACCCCAACGAACAAGGCATGGGTATTTAAATTTTTCCCAGGCATGTTCGCGCACTTTAATTAGATGTTCAGTTAATGCTGAAGCTGAAATATACGCATATTGACAGAAGAAATCTTCAAGTTCGGAAGTGATTGGAGGATCTTGAATATAGAACACTGGTTTCTTGCCAATGGGTTCATTTGTAGACATAATGGAATCGATCTAAGAAAAAAGCTAGACACAGTTTATTTTCTTAAAAAGTCAGAAAATTATCCCGTTTATTGATAAATCTCGAATATTTACCTTTTCAAATGACAAATAACCGCATTTCACTACAACAATGCAAAGGACACCTTTAGACTGACCATCACTAACATGACAAAAAAAAGACAGAACGAATGAAGTGACAAGAAAACACATTGATAAGAACTTATATCTTTTTTATGTAGAAACAATTAAATTGGACATCTTAAAAGACTTGAAATTGTTTGCTGATTATTTATTTGAATATTAAAAAACAACGTTTAGAATTAATGAACAAAATGAGAAACTTTAAAAACACATTTAAAACATGTTTGGTACATCTTGCATATCTTCATGAACTCTCAGCATCTCTGCTTGTATTTGAGTTGGTGATCTGAAAATAGAAACAAATCTATCTAACATGGTTCAAACAAATAGAAGTTTTCACTTTCTTACCGTGGCTGGTTGAAAAACAGTTGTCTTGCCCTGCTTGCTGCGGCATCTGCCAAATGTACAACACTTGGAATTGATTCACTCATTCGATTATCTATACGTTGGTCAGTGTGACAAAGAGAATAAGTGAGCTCCTCTAAATCACTGAATAAGTATTCGATTTCATTGACTATTACAACATAGTTTCCAATTTTGTTTGTTCCTAAACGTGGTTCATGTGAATTTAGGAAGAAATTGGGATAATTTGGATTTGCATTCACGATACATTCATCAACAACAACACCAGATTCAACATTGATTACCTCGTTCGAAGGTAACAGACGAAAGAGGCGAGTATTATGACGTTTTTTAACCACAATAAAAGTTAGAAGAGGTGGAGATGAGCTTGCTGGATAAACAGCTGAAAAGAAAAGTCCATTGTACTACAGGATTGGCAAAGTACAAAATGAATTATGTCTTACCTTGAAAGGCTTTCTTCAAGTCCACTACCTCACCATTCTGTATACGTTCAAATTGTCCATCGTCAACACCATCACGAAAGAAAACAATATGTTCTGGTAGAGTGCCGTCATTGCTTGTTTTAAATGCAATCAACAGTTCTTCAACCATGTTTTTCAATAGCAAAATAGTTTCTTCAGATTGTTTTCCTTCTTTTGGCCATTGGCGAGAGACACGTTGATTTGTAACTGTGCACTCTGAATTCATGCTTGCAACAACAGCTGCTATCGATGGAATTTCTCCTTTGTAATTGTTCTTTGCATGTTGCACATCAGCACCGATAAACATCGTTTTTATAGGCGTTTCTAACTGAGCTATTCGTTTATTTTCACCACTCAGTTTAATATTCACGGATTTTAAAAGATTATCGCAATACGTTCTTACATTATGCATGTTTTTAACTTTTGAAAAGTTTGCACACTGAGTAACAAGACCTAAACAAAGAAAGAGAATCAACCATAGTTATTTGCAAAGCTAATGGTTAAAAATTAACCAACCAAATTCGATGGATGCAATCTGCTTGAAGATTCGGTGTATTTCTTGATTTCGACAATTAGAAAGGCATAGGATGAATTGGCACTGGTTGTTTTTGAGTCGAGATAAGCGGTTTCGAAGTGTGCTTTCCAGATTCCTGTCAACAAATATTTCATATTCGTCAAGATTTTCGGGCAATGCCATTCTTTGTCGATCTGCAGCCTGTTAGATAATAAAAAAATGAAAAGTGACTTTTCAAAATTATCAATTGGAAAACTATGAGACTTACATCATAGAAGTTGTTCAATAGTTTTTCTTGCATTTGTCTCGCATTGGGCTCTCTGCGATCTGTCAGGTACAAAAATGCCATGTTATCAATCGGGACTGGATCAGTAAAACCACGGTGCCGACTGAGAGTAATTTGAGGTTTTGTCAAGATTTCATAAGGAATTTCCATCATTTTGTCACAGCGGACTTCTAGTTGAATTTCTTTAGATAATTCGTCATCATGGAAATTACAATTTTGAATAGCTGCTAAGATAGAATGATATCGTTTATGAACTACTGGCGCTGTAACAGGTTTCATGAATTCATTTTCCTTCACCGGTTGCCATTCTCGTAAGGAACAATATTCAATGGGCAGGTCTACTATTTTTGTCGGATTTCCTAATGGATAGGCTTTCAAGCAATATAATTTTGGATAACAAAGTTCAAATCCGAGATGCTTGTAATAACTTAGAAGATTTTCTTCATCTCTGATATGAATCTTTGCAGGAAGATCATTTGAAAAATCTCCAGTAAGAATATATTTTTTTTCATGCTCTGACTGGGCTGTTGTAATTTCAACATCTTTCAAATGTAAACTAATTATATTGTATTGTTCATCTGACAGCCATCCTTGAAAAGAAGATTTATTTTTCAATAACAATCTTTCCCAGATGAATGGTAAAAGATCTAAGTGAGGGTAAAATCGAGTAATTGTGGTATCCACATTCAAGGTTGGACCTGATTCTGTACGACACATAGCCAATCTAAATCCTGTCAGGAGATCATGAGGTCCATCTTGATCTATTTCTCCATCCCATGGATAGAAGATTGAATCGATTGCCTTGAATTGCTCTTTCAATACTTGCTTGATCAATGTTTCAATAACTCGAGTCGAAAATTGATTTAATTCATCTGTACCGCTAGTGGCGCACAAACTATTGATTGTTAAACGTCGTCGATATCCGTGTTCTTCATTCTCATGCATCAATGGTAATTGATCCTCAAAATTCGTTGTACTGTACATGCAAAATCCTTCATCATACCAACAAACAGCTGTGGGATGAATTATTTTGGCTAGAAGAATATCAGAAACAAATCGACGACGTTTTTCACGACTGGTAATATTAACATATTTTCCTTGTTTTTCATGATATTCTTCAATAATGACATCGTACTGATAAAATGTAAGATTATCGGCAAATGAACATGGAAAATGATTAGTACAGATCACATCATCCGTGTCACCTCCAATTTGTCGTGATTCTATTCCAGATGTTTGACTTGGTTTTGGAATGGTGCTCTGTTCATTTGTTGTAGCTAATGTCGATGTAGCACGAGTATTCGTTTGTTGTATTTTTGATGACTTGTTTATTTTATCGTTTTTGTCACACATTATTGTACTTGTAAAAGCTAGCAAAGATATAGTATGGTTTAAATTTTGTCAAATGTTGTACGAACCTAAGTGAATATTAGTGACATACTGCATGTATATTTATATATGAGAAGGAACCATACTGGCACTGTTTTTTCCCACTCACACAAACTTGACCACAATGGTTATCGCTTTTCTCTTTCGATACGTCACATTTATGGTTGAAAATAGTTGTGCAAGAAAATGAGTCATATTTTTTCTTGCACAACTAAACGATATACCTTGATAAATGGAGAGAGTATGAGAGTGAGGTTGCGTGTAGACGCAAATCGAATTTCCTATAGGCTTTTAATTGGTAGAGAAAAGTTGTTGTTGGTTGATTCGGCTGGATTGGCATTTCTTTTCTTTTGATATTTTTTAAAGTAAACATCAAATAAAACAAATTTCAATTTCCGACGAAATCGAGCAGAACATGCAATAAATATATAGAAACTATCCTAAACGAGAAAAATGAAGCGATACATTATTTAAATTCAACTTACTGCATAACTTACACCAAAGAGCAATATAATCAATCGAAAAGCGACAAGCAACACTCGTTGAACAATATTATCATTTATACGGTTTGTTATCACATATGTGACAGCAGTAACAATAGTGACAGGAACTACGTATACTGAAAACAGCACCAAAATTTTTTGTTAAAACCATTGCTGTAAATTGTTGTTCTAATCGAAATCGCATAATATGTACTTTTCTTTAACGCATGTCACGAACATTTCGTAAAGCAATGAGACCAAAGACATTTATTATAAAGACCGGCACAAGCCCATCGATAATAGGGGTGTGAGTGAGTAGTTGAAGGTATGAATAAGAGCTACTTTGGTATGTCTTTATATATTCCCTTTAGCTAATTCTAAGATATAGCTATGTGGTTATAGTTGTTTCGTTTATCTCTTTTGGTTTGTTCAGATTTAAAATGTTATTTCTTGAGGGGCGTGGGCGAGGGTGGTGAGGGTGAGATAAATTACTACTATAATTATTTCGATTCTTTTTCGAGAATCTCATCAGGTGGCTTCATAACCTATGTCAAGTAAGTTATGGCACAAAATGATTTTATATGCTGAGCGACAGCTAGAGGCCTCTCTTGTTTCGTTCATATATTGGCTGGCAGAGTGTCAACGACTTGCCAAATATATGTGTAATTAACGGTGCTACGATGAACTCTGCAAAAATGACAAAGTCAGAAAGAGAAAGTCTCCAGAAACGAATTATACAATTCTATGTTAACGTCGCTAACAAAAAGAAAAATCTTACAGTAAATCATTTTTTGAAAGAGGAAATTCCTCGTAGAACTATCTATAATGTCATCACGAATTATGATGAATGTGGTCATATAGGAGACAAACAAAGATCCGGTCGGCCAAGAAAACTCAACTCGAAAGCAATTAACCGACTAAAAAATCTTGCTAATCATCATACGGGCATTTCTTTACGGGTGCTAGCATCCAAATGTCGAGTTAGTCATGAAACTATTCGTGCTTATTTGAAAGATATGAACATCAAATACTACAAAAAACGACGAGTACCGAAATATACTGATCAACAACTTCAAGAAGTGCCAATTCGAGCCCGTCGACTGTATCGAACTTTAGTAAACAACGACTTTCAGATCATAATGGACGATGAAAAATACTTTTTGCTTTCTGATCAATCGGTACCCACTAATCGTGGATACTATTCGTCTGACATGAGTTTAACATCTCCTGAAGTCAAATTCAAACGAGTTCAAAAATTTGAACAAGAAGTCTTGGCTTGGATTGCTATCTCAACCAATGATATCTCCTCACCCTTCTTCGCAAAGTAACGTCAAGCAATCAACGAAAAAACTTATTTGTAGGAATGCATTATTAAGCGTCTAGCTCCATTCATCGATACTTATCATGATAAAGATAGAACATTGTTCTGGTCTGATCTGGCGTCAAGCCATTACAGCAACATCGTTACCAGTTACTTAAGTCAAAAAGGCATTCAGTTTGTGGACAGATATATGAATCCTCAAAACTGCCCACAATCAAGACCAATCGAAACACTATGGTCAATATTGAAGAATATGGTCTACAATCAAGGGTGGGAAGCAAAAAACATTGATCATATGAAACAAAGAATACAGCAAAAGATCAAAGAAATTGACCTCAATGTTGTCCAATCCATGTTTTCAGACATTCGGAAACAGTTACGAAAAATCGCCGACCACGGACCTTATCATGCTTGTTCTTAACAGTTTCTTGTATTTTACTCTTAGGTCTTTTATATGAGATAGGCTCTTTTAAATAGAAACAAATCATTGAAACAAATGGATGAAAAACTTTTTGTGCCAAAACTTACTTGACATAGGTTAATATATTATCGTAGTGATCAAAATTATCAAAACGAATAACATAATCCGTTTTTAAAAGAATAAAATGAAATTATTCTCTTAATTTTTCAAGAGTGTGAGAGAAATTACCACTGTAATTTTATAATTTTTCAAATATTTAAATTATTTCGATTATTTTTCGAGAATCTCATCAGGTGACTGTATTAATACATAAAGAATAAAACTACAATCCAGATTTCGATCTTTCTCAGGGTGTGGGTATGTTAATCAATCAAAGATTCAAAGCATATCACGATGTTTCGTCCTTCCTTAAGGGACTCATCAGGTATCTTTAGAATCTACTAGGGTGTGGGTGTGTGTTGAATAACCACAATAACTTTTTAAATATTGATTTCGATTCTATCAAAATTAGAATCATTATCAAATGACATAGTATTTATTCCATTGATTAGAAAAATCAAAAATCAAATACTATAATAAATTTCCAAATTATTGAAAATTTTTTCGACTCTCTAAGAGTGTGGGGTGTGTGTGTATTATTTTTAAAGAAATTGATTACGATCCGAATTTTGACCTTTCTCAAGGGTCAATCATCAGGTAGCTGTAGCACTGCATAATAAATTAAATTGAACGCAAAGGTCAAAGAATTTTCTCCCACATTTAGAGATATGTGATGTGTGTTTGAACATATACAAGAAATCGATGATTATTTCAAGCATTTTCACCCGAATCAAACAGATTTTCACCCAAAATAGCCAAGAATCAACCGAACAGAGAACTTCTTCGATGTTCAATGTTACCCAAATGATGTTTGTTATTTTAAGTGATATCTTTCTTGGGATATTATCATCGTGTAGAGCATATAAAGTTGAGGGAACGAATTCGGAAAAGTTCAATTATCTCTCAGTTATGTTGAGTTGTGGAGCTCTGATATTTTGTTTTTTTTTCTCTTTAAATGTCAATGACTTCATTTTTGTCTGATCTTTTTATGTTCTATTTACGTATGTGATTGAATATTGTTTTGTTTCGTTGTTGTCTTACCTTTCTACCATTGGAAGGTTAGGTACTGACATTATTCATAGTTGTGTGTATGATCCTCATTAAGCCTCATTATTATTGTATAATTCGGAGAGTTTTCTTTCTTCTCGGTTAGATTTAGAGTGCTCTTAGTTTTCTTAGCATATTTTATGGTGATATAGTATATGCGGTTGCTAGTTTGGAGCTTTGAAGAAGATTTATGGCGAACAGGAAGCGAACAGGAAGTGATCATGATTCTACTGATAGAGATATTTTTGTTTTATGCGAATGGATTTTCTTTAGTTATAAGTGTGAGGGATGCCTTTGACTGTGCGTGTTTAGTTAAATTTTATATTCACTTTGTTTCATAATATTTCCTGGAGTTAGGTTCAAAACGTGTCATATATATATGAATGAATCTTGTATTTCAAATTGTCATCCGATAAGTCTATAGTATGGAGTTTAGTTGCATTTTATTGAATTATTTTACGTAGATTTGTTTAGCAGTGTCACACATTCGTGTCTTCCATGGCATTTTTGGAAATTATGGTTGGTCGTCTGGATATTATAGGAGAATCAAGGAAGCTTATTTTTCGACGATAATTTGTGTAGTTTACTTTCTTTGATAGAGTTTGTTTAAAGTTGTATGATGTGTGAATATCTTGATGATTTACTTCGACCATTATTCGACCAGATGGCATTAAATTATACTGTTACTTCTGGTTTTGGTTTAGTTAAACAATTACAACTACGGTCAAGAAATAACTTTAATCGAGAGACAATATTTTGTACAATTGATGTGACAGACCTCTATACTATGGTGCCTCAAATAGAAGGAGTATTGTCAATAAGAAAAAATGTTAGACCAGTTGAAATTAAAACAAGTTGGTGAATTAAAAGTCGAAACAATTATTAGATTAAATCGATTTGTTATGACTAATAATTATTTTTCTTATAATGGCCAATTTTATCATCAAGTAAGAGGAGGAGCAATGGATTCTCCTCTTACTCTAACTATTTCCAATTGCTATATGTACTTCTTTGAAAAACAGCTTGTAAATCAAATTCGAAATAGTGGTGGACTTTATTTCCGATATACTGATGATATATTTATTACAATTAATTGGTCTGCTACACATTTACTTAAACAAATCGAAAGATGGAATAAATTTGATGAAAATATTAATCTATCTGCAAATATTGGTTCAATCGTCAATTTTCTAGATTTAAATATGGAAAATCAAGATGGTCAATTATTTACTACAGTCTTTCAGAAGCCATCTTATGAACTATATTATTTGCCTTTTAATAGTATTCATCCCTTACATATGAAAAAGAATATTCCATTTGCCATGCTATTACGAGCTGTTCGATACTGTTCAACATTTCAATTGTTTATAAATGAACGTGAAAAACTAAGAATGGCACTATTACTGACTAAATATCCAAATAAAATAATCGATGAACAATTCAATAATATGTTACCAAAATTCAACATTATTGAACCACTAACCTCCAATAATTATGTTAGGTATCGTCAAATAGTCATAAACTCTCCTATTAAAGAGAAACTACTGGTGAATTATGAGAAATCAATATTCGTTCATTTTACCTAATGTTCAAGCATGAAGACATTTCCTATAAAATTCCATACCTTACGGGAGAAATATTTCGATAAATCTCCAATCAATGAAGTTATTCCAATTCTTGGCACAAGAAATGTCGATAATCTCCAACGACGACTCATACACACTAGATCTATATACTAGATATATAATAACGGGAGAATTTAAGAATTAAATGAACTATTAAATCAAGAAATATGTCCAGTTAAATACATCAGCCTGAATATTATATTCGAAAGCAATTATATTCGAAGTCAATCAAACCAGCTTAAACATTGCATTCTAAGTCAACTAAACCAGCTTGAAGAGTGTATCCTAAATCCATAAACTTATATTGGGTTAGAGTTATACTACTGAACTTATAAGCAATAGACTTATACTGGACTAGATTAATATCACTCAACTTAAACTCGATCTAGGTTATAAATTAAATTGAAAAACATCAATACAAATCCCTATTACAGTCAAATATATAACAAAGACTACAAACAATTTCAAATGTTTCAAATGTTTCATTATTGGATAAAGCATCTATTTAAAACTACATTCGATCCTATCTTTGGTCCTGGATTCGAAATAATTTGGATTTGGATTTGGAATAATCTGTATTGGCTTTGAATTAATTTCAATTTGGATTCGGATTTGGAGTAATTTGAACTTGGATTTGCAGTAATTTCAGGTTAGAGGGCGTGGGTGTGTATTTTCCTCTTCATCCATAAGCACACTCACACCCACACCCCACACCATCAGGCAAAGTTTTAATGCTTCGAAAACTTTTATTTATTCATAAAGCCCAACCCATTTTATAAATTACTATACATTCACTAATATTCTATATCCGATACCCTGTGTACAAGATATGAATTTGTCGCACGTTAACTATCCTTACACTCCACCATTATGCACTCATTATAATATTGTTAGTCAATGCGTAGATTTCATTCAAAACATGCTACGATTGCAGCTACAACCATTAAATTATTCGAACTGTGTACCATATTGATTTTTTATGTCGAAGAATTTGACAATTCATCATTTAATAAAGAACGTGTTGTTCTTCAATATAACTAGCGCATTATTTCATTTTATTTATAAACCATTATTTAGTTGCCAAATCGTTAGAATTCTTTATTTATTTCCAGCTGTTTTTGAAAGTTTATCATTATCAATTCAATTAATGCATCACCCAAAGCTACCATCAACAGTAATGTATGATCTTATCGATCTGAATTTGATATGCCACGATCAATTGAAAGTCAGCTATATTCTCAAAGATTATTTATGTATAAATGAACAAATTTTGACGACCATATTAAGATCATCATCTAATCTTAATTTGAAAAATTTATTCAATAATTGTATAAAAGATAGTATATAATATGTTCCAGAAGAACATCTTATCGTTGTAAAAACTCAACTATCTCGTGGCCTTATATTTTGCCACAATCATTTGATCTACGCATCTTAAATAAAGTTTGGGCTTACCGTGCTACGGATCTATTTGCATCAAATACAAGATTATTTTCATATTCACCTTTTGTATATCGACCAAAACATACTCTAATAGATGTTTTTGAAGTACCATGTAAGTGTTCATAGTATTTAATATAAAACAATAATTACTTATTACTTTTTCTATTCAACATTTTTCATTAGTTGTATTTCAACCGGCTTCATTATCATTCCATGAACTAAATTTTATAAAATTTATGGGAATGATCTTCTAACACCACCAAAAATCGTTTGAACGTTTCAACAATTTAAAGACCATCTGATAAATCGATTCTCTTTTGACAAAATTTTCCCATTCATTGATTTTAACCAATTTATTTTAGCCGGTGATTCAGTTCTAATGTCGCTCTTACAAAATGCTACACAATGTATTACTTCTGATCTTGATCTTTTTTATATAGGAGAAGGTTTCCGAAAATTCATCGGCATATTTGTATAAATTATTAAACTTATAAATGCCATTATTACTGTTCTATTTTTTCATAGAAAAAGACTCATCGAAACTTACGTAATTTTCATTTCGTCAAGCAAATAGTTCTATCGTACCGTCGTGTATATGAATTAGAAATAAATTTGGGCTCTGGTATATTAAAAATAATAAATGAATCAAACATACGCAAAAAGCTGACAATACAATTTATTTATCATCCATGTGTAACATCTATTTAGACATATCTAATGGCGTTCGATTTAGATGTCATTCAAATTTGTTTTAATGGTGAAAAGTATTATCTACATGGACGTTCATTCGTGCATTAAATGCAGGCACATTTATTTGTTATAATCTTACAAATGATGTAGTAATACTTGGTCGCAGTGCAGTTCGTATTGGGAAATATTATCAAAAAACTTCAAACTATTATATCCTTATCAATTTCAAATGGACAATTTTTTATCCTTACGTTATATCAATTACGACACATGCGACATCCTGATTATTATTCATCGACACAAGAACAATTCGGAACTAATCACGATTATTTTCAATTACAACAAAAATTTGTTGACACTTATATTAGTCAACGATTTTAGTCTATATTTAAATTAAATGGTACTAAAAGATGAATATAAAATAATAATAACTTGTAATATTCAATGTACACAAAACTTTGTTCAAATGAGAGCTTGACTTTACAAAATCCAATTCATGAATCCTTGCTAATTAAAATGTGACCATTTTGTTTCTTTAATAATATATTCGAATCGTTTTTGTAAATGATCTATTTATGATTCTTTCATTGACATCTGCAACAGGACTTGCACTATGTTTATCACAACACTATATGTACAATATCCGTTAGTCTCTTTAATGTACATAAAAGCAACGATTGTAACTTTCATTATTGCTCATCAATATCTATTCTATGAAGCACACACATATATCAGTTTCTATCAGTTGTCTTTTTATGTATTCTACATAAGTGACTATCAATCACATAAAACAATCCTCTTGCACTATCCATACACAATAAAGTAAAGCATTCAAATTGATGTCGTTACTTTCTCAATACATAATATAAAACCTAACGTTGTGTTAAATAGAAACTCAATGAATTCAATGTTACACTACGACTTAAGGCAGTTCGTAAAAAGAATCGTTATTAATAATCCTTAAACTTTAAAATACAAAATCATTCACCTTTTTAAATCTAAAACATTAATCACATATAACTAATAACATAATGTACCATTTCGAAATAAAGTCGATACTAATTTTTTTTCAATACTACAAAACGATAAATACTATTTTCATCCACTGATTTCTCACAACATAATCTAAGACAGCACTATATTATTAGGAAGTCAATTAAGTTAAATGTTTTTTTTTGAATTATTGACATTCAAAATCAATTGAATGATAATTATTTGCTTAAAAAAGAAAGCAACGAATGTGCCAATGCATAATTTCATACTAATATCAGCTATTAGATAATGTTGATATTGACAACTCACATATACATTTTCTGCACATGATTCGAACAATATTAAAAACATAACCCTGCTCAAAATTGCAACGACTTGAGTATATATCAACTTTTTAATTAAATTTTAGTTCTTTTGCTCACGTTTTATTCCCTAAACTTCTTTCCGTCTACCAATGAAATAAAACATGATATTAAAAAAAATAAACAAAATCGTTATACGGTAAGCATTTGCTAACTTTCAGTAAAAAACAATTCTTTTCAAGGACATGTAACAAAATGTCCATTTGATAAAGATATGCTGCTACAAATGCATTCACTACAATCAACTAAAAAATAAACCCATTCCAATGCAAAAATGTCTTTTAATTTTTGAGGTCATTTGAGTTTCAATATATTGATACTACACAATTTCCAACATAATGCAAATCTTGGTATTTTTTCTTAGATTACTCATTGTACAAAAATTCATTTGCTATCAAAATGCAAGTACATCAATATCATCATTTCGTCAGTTCAGGGACCAGTCAATCGACGTTCGACGTCGATGAGCGTTACTTGTCGGTAGAAGTGTTCCATTTCTTGATGTATTCATTCAGAACAGTAACGAAGCTTTAAAAACTTCAGTGTATCATAAAGAAGCAGCTGAGCCGTATGTCGTACCATTTGGATCAGATCATCCTGATCATGTTTTTCGAAACACCATTGGGACTGCTATTACGAGAGCAGTTCGTTATTCAACAACCTTGTCTCAATTCGAAGAAGAAATACGACAAATGAAACTCATGTTTCTCTACAATGGGTAAGTTTCAGGTATTCATTCACGTTTCTCACTCTTTGTATGTGAGTTATAGTTATCCACCAAGAAATATTGATCGGCCACTCACGAAATTATTCAGTAAATATTTATCCAAGCATTTCATTTTGCCTATGCTCTATAACTCTGGTGACTTTGGCTATTTACGTCATCAGTTATTGAGAACATCAACACATGCAGAATACGATAAAACAACCGACAACTTAATTATCTATAATCAAACTCGCGACAAAAATATGCAAAATCAGGTTATGAAACCCGTAGATAACAACGAATTAACAACCAGAAAACGTCTCATCATTCATCAAACACATGAAAGACGACTCGGAAACAATCACCGACATATTCACGAATTGTGGAGTCGCACTTTCCATCAAACAGAGATCATGAATACTGTTCTGATCATTGGAACTTATCTGAATCACAACTTAAAACAAGAATTGATGGCCAAGATGAAAAAACATATTCCAGGTGCGAGAAGCGACTAGCAGAGCAAAACGCAACCTGAGACTGGTAAAGAAACACAATCCTCAAGCAGCGTTAACCAGCCACTGACTTGACTGATTTAGAATTTTATGTTGTCATTTATAAATATATAAAACAATACTCAATTGAAAAGAACATATGAAATGTAACAGTAGATCTGAAAAACAAGCAGACCTGCAACTAAGGCACACAAAATCATCGCCAAATTAGCTCCTTCAATAACAGCATCGCCACAAATGTGCATATGATTACAC